CAAATTTTTTTAATCGAAATGATTAACTTTTGGCAGAGAATTTCGCCTTCTGACAGATACATAGCTAACTTCATTAAATTATATTCAATATCTTTTTAACCAGCTAGCACTTGTATAATATTATTTGACCAAATATTTCCTCTGTATCTAAACTTTTGCAAATTTTCAACAAATTCTGAATATTATTTCCGTGTTTTTTTGTCATTTGAATCGACGTGGTTATACGTTTCCCATAAAAACACATATTAATTCGGTGCAAATTAAAATCCTTATATCTTGAATCGATTTAAAAATTGTACTGAAGATTCTAAACGTAAGGACATTCTTTACAATTTTCATTAAATTCTCAATATTCTGAAAATAGGTACAAAACATCCTTAAGATGTAACACAATTAAAAGAAGCAGAATTTATTTTAATGAAGAGCGTCTCTCTATGAATTTTAAAAATAATTGCTAAAGGGAACTTTTCTCGTGTCTACGTTTTGAAGAGCACTTTCACATATTCCTCCAAGCCATTCAAAATATAAGCCATGGCATATAAAACAATCCTGAACCGAGTTACTTTAGCAGTAATATATCTTGGCGCATGGTTGAAATTTTCGCACGGAACTATTCAGACGGCGGATCGCTAAAACGAGGACCGTCTCGTGCAAGTTAACTCGAAAGAGACTCCAACGGCATCTCATTTAATGGTGGGAAACTCGAGTGCGCCACTGCGAGTTCTCATGCATCTAGATAACTAGAAATGCACGCACCGTGCACAAAAGATATGGATACTACGTGCGTTATTACGGTATGCAATGTTATATTGTTAGGGAAACTAGGATTATGACTTGTATTGTAATATTCCCTAAGAGTTAAGGAAATCTAATAAATTTATAAACAAAGCCCTCTTCCTGTTTTCAGTCACAATAATACGCAACTGGAAATATTTAATTTACTATTATTAATAAAGTCATATCATTAATATTTAATATTAAAAATTTAATTCACAATTTTTATTACTAATCAAATCACGTCATTCTTATAATACACAATATTGCATAATATTGCATTAAATTTTAATTTACTTCCTGTTCTTATTTTATCGAGGCTCTTTCGAGATATTGAAGATATTAACTGTAATTTTTTCAGAACATATTTCAAAGATAATTTCCTAATAATTCATTTTCATCTTGAAAATGTCGCGTTTCGGGACAGCAATCTATCTATCCTTTGAATGGCGGTTATTTATATATATTTTCGAGTCAAAAATTTATGTGCAGCGAATTGCTGGAGCGTACACGTATGCGCGACTCTCGGGCATAACGTTCCATAGTTCCGCGATAATATAATATACGTGTTGTCGCAACGGTGCGAACACAATACAATTGCGCGGCCATCCGTTCGGAATGGAACTACGGGGAAAGGTAGAAACGCGCGGAGAGAAGGGGGAGGGGAGGAAGCGACGGAGGCGGAGAATCCGCGCGACAGGTCCCAGCTGATCTCTTGCGCGCGTCCAAAGCTCAGCGCGGCCGAACAATATTTCTGACGACCCAACCGCGCGCACGTTTTACGACTCGATGACTAACCAGCTCCGGTTAATTAAGCAGACATTTAACGCTGAACAAAGCGACCGCGAGCGGAACCGCGACGCCCTCCGCGAATTATTCGCCTTTCGCGTCTAATTGCGCGCGAGATTGTTATCAAATTGCGTTTCGGACACGAGTATCGCAAACTTGTCTCTGACGAGGGAAAGAAAAGAGAGAAACGGTGTCGTTAAACCTTGATGAAGCAACATTACACGCTCGAGTTTGTATTTCGCGATAGGAAAATGAATGCGAGTTTTATAGTAGCGTAAAAACGTTGCTGATAAAACACCGAAAATAATCAACTTGGAGAATATTATTATTTTTATAGTAAAATGGATTGAACGCAACACTTGTATCTCGTTTATAAATGAAAAATGTAATTTCTTAGATTATTTTCACACAGCTGATATACAAAAAATAATAGAAATATAAAAATAAAAATAATAAAAATAATAAAAAATAATAAAAATGATAAAAATAATAGAAATTATATAAAAATATCTACAATAAACAGTCTGTGACAGTTTTACTCCAATTTACAGTACTGTGTGAATAATAATGAGTTGTCGGCTAACGTTATTATCGCAGTAGAAAATCAATAAAAATAAAATGGCAGATGTCATAAATAATAATATAGGATAAAAATTATTAAAAGATTCGCGTTAAATATAAAGCTCCAATTTTCAATTCACCACAACAGGCAATTTACTTCTTTCTCCAGAGACATACTCTCAAATTTACGGACAATAAAGGAAAATAGCAACATCGCGCTGTCAAAAAAAGTAAAATACAGAGAGAAATCGCGCCAAACTAACGAGATTTATATTAACATCATTGTCGATAATAAATTTATGTTCATACGGAATTTACAGCTGTTATTTTCGTTTTACACAGGACATCTCAGAAGCGAAAGCGCTTTGCATTTCGAGTCGAGCATCACGAAATCAATTATCGTTGCGTCTCGCGTGTCTCCTATATTTATTTAGCATTAAACGATCGTCGTTATCCTCGCGTTTGTAACTCAGAATGATCGTAAATCAGAGATGGAAACCTGGTCGCGGGGTCTCCGATGGTAATGAATGGAGAGGGACGGTGGTCGTGGGGACGAAAACGCATTGTAGCCTTTCGACGAGCCTCTACGCATCGCCGATGCGGCGTATGAATTTCAAGTGAATTAATGGCACCGGATTATATCTCGTAATCGCGTATCTATCACGCGAACGACGTCGTTTCCCCGTGGACCGCCAACCAATTCCAAACAAAGAGATTCACCCGCGTTCGACTATTAAAACACAATTACCGATTAATCATTTAGCACTTGCTATAAGCGTAAAATCGATCGTCGCCGAATGGACTCGCTTCAAAAACAACTGCGTTAATAAACAGCAATTTGAGAAAAATAAATCTGAAAGCTTAATATTATACTACTTTTTTTTTTATTTTAAAACACATCGCGAAAAATGTGAAAAAAATATGACGATGGAGAGATTTTATTTAAAATTAGTTGAAACGAAAAAAGCAACAAATAAAATGGTATTATTAATATATCTCATATTATTATGTTCGTTTCGAATAAATTCTCTTGATTGCAATTCATTTAATCTGATACATATATTCGTGAAAAATAAAAGAGATAAGAGTTTTACGCGAAGAAATCAACATTTTCGCGCACGATGGATTCATTTAGATTTAAAGTTCACAATAAACGTAGCGAATAAAAATGTTGTTCGTGAATTCGAGGAACAACTGAAGAATGCAAATCCATGAATGTTTTCGAAAGACACCTTCGTTTCAAATGCGAATCACGTAGCAGCAAATTGCAAGCACAGAATTGGATACGAGCTGACGCAAGAAAATGTAATTAATAATTTGTAATAGAATGAGAGGAGTTATACTCGACGCGCTACAATCATCTGGCAAATAATGCAATAAACTGTATTTGCGTCTAGTTGTTATAACAGACAAAACATAAAAAGAGATCGTTAAAAGTCTCGTGTTTAAGATAAAGTCTGTGTCTTTTTATTCGGGATGTATGAGACTCCTGCATATTTCCAATTAAATCGTGCGACATCAATTACATTCGCTAACGAGAGATTAAATTTAAAGTGCAATATAGCTTTGCAAAACCGCCCATTGAGATGAGATTATTGCTTCTGAAATATTACTTTGTTTGAAAATCATTTGGATTTAACAGATCTTATTAATTCGATTACGCGATAAATTATCTTAAACAAACTGGAATTATCGTTTTTAAAATTAACATGTGTATTTGAAAATCAGCTGATTTTGGATAGATCCAATTAGTTAAGTTATATATGACACAATCTTATTTTTGAATCACCATGCAAATATGCGAATAAAATTCTTTTATTGCTTTTAAATTAATGAATATTAACGTCAATTATATTATTTTCGACAAGTTATTTTTCTTTGCTCGAGTCGGATAGAATTAAAATAAAAGTTTCGATCTTGTTGAAATATATCGGAGTCAAAATCTATCATCTTATCAACTTTGTGAGAATATTTAGGGGGAAAATTCTTTTATTCAACGAGTGAGTAACTTCTCGCCGTCCATCGCATTCTGTTATGAATTACAAAGGTCCTCACGTGGAATTCACTCGTCGTCAATGCAACGATCCTCTCTCATTCATACGTGTTCGGAATCATTGACGGCAACCGCAACTACGTGACGGGACAACGACCGCGTCTTCTCTTCGTGTTGGAAAACAGGATGAAGAAAGGACGAGAGACGCGTTTTGAAGAGAAGTTTGCGTCTCCGGTGGCGCAGGAATTCATCATGAGCATCTCGAAAAGACACGTGCTCGCGAGAGCTCATTTCGCATAATTTAATAAGCTGGAAATGATTAACAAGCTTGCTCTAACAGTGTCTTGCTTGCGATCTCATTATACACTGACTGAAAATGGCCAATAGTATAATCTCGGTGTCGCAGAACTTACTTTATTACGTGTTCACGAAGAAAGGTAAGATAGCAGTTCCATAAAGATTCCTTCTTTTCTTGTTTTTATGCAAAATATATACGATATGGAAATTGCTCAGAAAAATATTTATATTTTGATGCTAAAGCTGATTAAAATTTTCTGACAACTATTTTGTCTTTCTTTAAACGAATAAATGCTAAAGAACTTAACTTCATTGCACATATGATTAAATTTATTATCCTAATTTTCTCCCATAACGTATAAAATCTCATCCTAATCATAATTTTGTCCTGCAAGTTATACTCGAAGTGACTAGTCATCGATCGACCTGATCATATTCAATTGAGAATGAGAAACTTACGACGGCCTATTGATCGATCCCCCTTACGTATAAAATCTCCTAATCATAATTTTGTACTGCAAGTGATAATGGAAGTGACCGGTCGTCGATCGACCTGATCATATTCAATTGAGAATGAGAAACTTACGATGGCCTGTTGATCGACCCCGTTCGGAGGCGGAGGCGGACTGAAGCTGGCCGCAGTCGGCGCACCAGGAGCGGCAGGATGGGGCGCACCCGCTGCGGGTGGCACCTGGGGCCCGCCGGCCGGGGGTGGTTGCTGGGGTGCACCGGCGCTCTCCTCCTTCACCGGCACTGGCGGTGGTGGTTTAACGTCACCGGCTGCACCGGCCGCCCCCACGACACCCGCGACCCCGTTCACCGGAGGGGGAAAGACACCCCCACCATAGGGCGCAGCCATCCCTGTCTGCACCATGTGCTGCAAAACAATATCATCTCTCGTGAATTTCGTTGCTCTGCAGATGTCCTTAAGATCTAACTCTAAGATATTAATCTTTAAAAGACCAGGTAGGTTTGATCCTTTCGAATTTTTCAATTTTCGACTTGTAAATATATGCTATAATTTTCTAGGAAGAAGCTGGGGAAAATCGAATTTCTGATTTTTAAAGATTAATATCGATAAATATAAAATGCGAGTTAAATATTTCGATAAGAAGTTAGAAATATTCTGTATAAAAGCTTCTTTTTATAGGCTTACAATAATATACGCAATCGTTTTAATCGATTTATATTTTTTATTATTACTTTTACTTATATTTACTTATATTTTTATCATTATTACTTTTATTAGTAATTCTCCAATTTAATATTAAATAAATTAATATTGATAAAGTCGTGAATAACAAGAGAGAATTGATAACGAATTTTCAATTAAATCTCCATAATTACTTTAGATTATTACAAACTTTAATTAATAAATTAGCAAAGTTTAAATCACTAGTTTGATCTCGATTGATCGTGCGATTCTCGACCGGATTAGCATGTTATTTACGATTTGGAGCACAGTCGAATACGAAGACAGATGGATACAAGAAATATATTAAACATATTTTGTCCATTAAGTTCCATTAACATTCGAGCATTCTTTCGTTTTTCATTCACGACAAGAGAGAGAGAGACAAACATTTTTATTATCGCACCGGTATTCAGCTCGCTTTTTCAAATCTCTCCGAGGTCGTTAGAGATGAAGGATAATGGAAGCGAAAATGGCGTTGCCAATTTTTCGTGCGGTGGCGCACTATTCATCGTGACCACGGACGCAATCGTATCAGAGTAGAAAAGATTTCTGGCAATGTTCCATCGCGGCAGGTTGCGATTGGTCGAATAATACCTCGAGCGATCTTAGACACGGAGAAACTCTCGCTAAAGATGACATTTTATACGTGAAAAAAATGTAAGTCATTTCGTCCACAACCGAGCGAAACTCCATGGCTCACGATTTCCTTCCCCTCTATGGTATTCACGGATGGAATATTAATCAACAAAGTTAGATATCCCTAGGCATTTGAATAATGCGTATTACGCCACTGTCAACTGCGACTCGATATCAGGTAATAAAGATGTAAATTGGATATGAATCGATTGTTGTTCATCACTGGGTAATTCTGTGTTGAAAATAAATTCTATAAAATAGATCTATCTCACTCTAACACAGTTACAAAGTAATTACAAAATATAAATTTCTTATTGATTTAAAATTCTTATTTTTCTTTAAAAGAAGAAAAGTTATCTCTTTTCGTTCATAATAAAAGTTACCAAGCTCTCTGTATTATTATATTAAAAATACCTCTATCTTTTTTTTTTTTTTTTTTTGAACAAATTACGAGATAAAAATTCCTTTTGACATTTAAACATGTACAAAAACTCATCGATGCTCGATGAGATTTTCTGCTCTCGCCGAGGAGAGTTTAAGCAAAGGACAGTTTTATAGAACGGAAAGGGCAAAGAGGGATTCGCGGGGCGGCGAACGATTTACCATAGACAACGGAGGGTAACTATAATTTATGGTTCGCCCCCAGGTCGTGCCATCCACAATCTCGCGCGTGGCAGGTTACAGATGGTTTGTCCAGTTCTCCCTTCTTTCTAGATTATTTTTGAACGCGACCCCTGTCTTCCCCCGCGCCTCCCTTCCCTCCCCTTCCCCCCTCCACGATCACGCTCCACCGCGGGAGAGGAAAGGATCATTTGTTATTTCTACCTTGAACATTTTTCTGAAAACTCGATTTAGACCGGATTTCGCCGATACGAACCGGTCGCGCCCGAACGGAGATGAAGCTTCACGAGGAAGAGCTCCGCGTGTTCTTTGTTAAGTCTGAGAAATGGGGGTCTTGGTCTCGGCAATTACGCAAGATCCGACAGCAACAAAGTGCCGTGACCCAGATGATTTCTCGTGCTTGATTGCGACAGCCCCGATCGACTAAAGCAATCGGTATTTGTATCAAAAGCGATGAAATCAGAATAAAAGTAGTACACCGAGAAAAATTGTTTGATTGTACTAACAAGACGTATCTAATAAAAGGTATTTTGGTTAAACCAAATCGAATTTCTAGTTATCACGATAAGACTCCATTTTTTTAACTAGAACGTTTAATAAAATTTACTACAAGGATTTGGATAATATTTTCTGGATCTATAAAATTTCTTATTATATTAATTAAACATGAAACACTGTGTCCATGTTTAGTTAATATAATAAGAATAATATAATAATAATATAATAATATAATAATATAATATAATATAATAATATAATAATAATATAATAATATAATAATATAATATAATATAATAATATAATAATATAATAATGTTATTATTTAACAATATAATACAGTGATCATTTTTTTTTTTTTTGTAAATTTAGTATTATTACTCAGAAAATTTGATAATTTAAAAGAAAGAAATTAATCATACTGATCTGATAATTCCTAAAGGAATTCTGATTCGTCCATTTTCCAACAGACATACTGGTATCTACCAGATTTCTAATTAATGCAACCAGATTTTTGTCTCAGTGTACGATTCTTTCTTTCTCTCTCTTTCTCTTCGATATTCCAGTTGTATGTGTGTAATTGATATCCTAATATTTATAATTCACATTTATTGGTATTGTGAAAATATATTTATTTTTATTACTCTTAAAGGTTTTTTTCCGAAAATGAATCTCGCACGGTTTGCAATTCCATTTACAATTTAAAATATGTGCACAAAAACGTCCATTTATAACGTCCTTTTAAACTCTATAACGTGCAAAATCAATTAATTTTCCTGAAATTTACGTATGTGCAGACACAATAAAACCGCAATAAAAGCTGATACAATGAAATTTCATAAATCTAATCACGGCGACAGGAGAGATTTCACGACGAGAGAGAGAGAGAGAGAGAAGGGTTAAAAAAATTCGGAAACATATGTTGCTCGACGAGACGATCAATGATAAAGAATATATCTCGCGTGTGGGAGGGAAAAGGTAAAGGAGGTAAAGGAGTGGATTTCTTCGCGGAAAACCCTCGCGGCGAATGAGCCGAAACTAAGTTTGAACGAGGCCGAGAGAAGTCGCCTCCGGCTCCACACGCTTCTTCCCATCTTCGACTGCTTTCTATTCCGCGAGCGTAGCTTAATCAACGAAAGGGACAGGACGGATAAGGAATGAAGAGCGCGCGCACGGGGTGGAAAACGTGACCCCCAGGTCGACCTAATTTTCCTTCCCGCTGACGCGGGAAATATGTCCCGGGATCGGTTAGCGGAATTACGTTTATGCGCGACTTTCCGTTCCGTTCAGAAAGACCCGGAGCAAAAACGCATCGATATCCCGACAGTCGGCTCCGAGGAAATACGTATTTAAATTCCGACCGTTTTAATTATGCGTCCCGCTAATTGTTCGATCTAATTTATGCGGGACGAACGACGTCGCGCGATAAACGCGCTATCCCGCCAGCGCGAATATCCGCTTCGTTATAATCAAATGTACTTTTTTATTCATAGCGATAGCCGTAGAAAGTCCGAATGTACGCTCGAATAATTGTACCGCGTTGAAAAACTCGAGACAAATCGAATGAAATTTAAATCACATTTATATGCGAGAAACTAGACAAAAGTTCCCTTCCGTGGCATATTTGAATAAAATTCGCATTCGAGTTACACGCGTTTGGAGCATCAATTATATTTACGTTGAAATAAATTCAACATAATTTGATAATTTAAAAAAAAAACTAAATTAGTCTCTCTAAATATTATAAAGAGATCGGAAAATGTAATCACATATTTTCATCGTCCTTTGATATCAAGGACCGTTACTCGCGCATACCTTTCTTGAGATAAAATTCTCAATTCCACTTTAGCAAATGGCTCGTTCTCGCTCGTTCAACGACAGTCTAACAGTTCTTTGTCGTCTGCTTCTTTTTTCTTATTTGCGCTCGTGAACAGAGCGAGGCTTTCCTCGCGTACAAGGGACCATTCAGAGCATGCCTCCCCCTCGGCATCAGCGAAGCGTGTCGCCGCCGCCTCGTGTAGCCGGGCCTTACGCCGGTGATCGCGTGCGCGAGACCGGGTATGGCATAATGAAAAAAATTTTAATGACGCCACGCTAATTCGATCAGCTTCCTCGGGCGTAGAGAATAAATGACGAAACGTTTTCTGAATGACGGTGCACGGGGACGCTGCACTCGCTGCACTCAATTAAACATTCGCAGCAGGATGGTTATTCGAACAGTTATGCGAACTGCCAATTCATCCTCTCAGTCGTTGCCACGCTAATTTAACGGTCATTTATAATCTTCATTGAGCTACGTATTGTTCAATTTGAGCTATGTATTGTTCAATTTGAGCTTTATTTCAAAGTGGTAAAATTATTGAATTATTAATTAATTTCATTGATTTCTTGAGATTATAATTTTTTTTATAAAAAAACTTAGAAGCGATAAAATTATTTCGAGTCGGTTATATGTTACAATTTATGAAATTTTAAATATTGATTATTTTTGTTCCTAATTTTTTGAAAGATGTTGAAGCAATGTTAAAAATAAATGTAGAATGTGAGGTATTATTATCTTAAATACGAATAATTGGATTCCAAGAAAATATGATTATATTATTCTCGATTAAACGTCTTTAAATTTTCAGAATCCTAATAAAAGATTGTCAAACATGTTAGTTTACATTCTATATTCATGTTTGCTCAATATTATAATTGAAATCAGAGTTATTTAAAATGAGTCTCTCTTTTCCCCTCTTTTTCCTCCTCCCCTTTAGATTATTATTTCATGCAAATATCATATATATCAAACAAATGACCTATTTTGAGAGTGCCATCGACCAAACAAGATGGCACTTTTCGCGTATACAATATCTATCTTATCGACTAAAATTGGGGGAGAAAAGGTGGAGTTGAGAGACGGATAACCGGCAAATCAGGAAACT